ATTATAAAATCATTCGGTACTAATAGTTACCTTTGATGATAAAATTCGTTTCTCCTTTTAAGAGAAATTCTTGAAGCTGCATTGGCCCAGATTACTTTTAATAGGTAGGCCTACTCTCTTTAGCGCCTGGTTACAATTCCAACAAAATCGTGTTATGATAAATGCTGTTTTAACTACGTTATAATGACCATTAATGTCTGTATTAGTTAGCTTATGTACTAGGATAGCATACATATACCCGATTAGCCTTATAACTTAGTTTATACAGGAATTTGCACTTATCCTACATGTAGCCTATTCACATCTATTTTTAATTTAATTATGTGTTAAATTAAGTGTTCAATGTCCAAAGTTTTATTTTATAAATAAAACGAATGAATGATGTTATTCACTTAAAATGGTATTATTAGTTGTATGTATTAATTAGCAGGAAATCAGGTGTATATTCCAGAATGTTGAAACCCATCCAGCAGTCACACACATGGAAACTCCCCCTGCTTGTGTTTTATGTGTTGCGTGCTGGCAGAGTAAAATGGTGGGGACGGTTGCAACATGGCTTATTTCTCAGGAATAAGCTACAGTGATGATATTCATACTACACATGCTCAAGCAGCCCCTCATCCTTCCTGGATGAAATCAGGCACATGACCATTCCTTCTACAAATAACAATTTTCATGGTAAAAAAGTTTTTTTTTTAATCATCAGATTTTTGTCATACTGTCTAAGTTGTTTGCAGTGAAGCATTGTAAAACATATGATTTATATCTGTGTTTTCTTAGCTTCTAATAGGCAAGTTAGCATGTGTCAAAGATATTGTGTCAAGCTAATATACCAAGTTTTGTCAGGGCTGTCAGTGTGGGGACAGTTGCAACACATTGTGTAATGTGTGACACATTGTGACATTCCATCTGTGTAATGGTTTTAAACTGTACAAACTGTATTTTCTATCGCCCTACACCTAAACCTACCCCTCACAGGAAACTTTCTGCATTTTTAGACTTTCAAAAAACTTAATTCTGTATGATTTATAAGCTTGTTTCCTCGAGGACCTAAAAAATGTCCCCACAAGGACAAAATTTACTGATATTACTATCCTTGTGGGAACATTTGGTCCCCATAATGTGATAAATACCATGTACACACACACACACACACACACACACCAACAAACGGAAATACCAAGACACAGTCTGAATTCATTACAGAAGCACAAGAGATCAATTTACATGCCAGTAAGGTTTACGATATTATTTCCAGATCTGTTTTATGAGGCTGTAAATATTAAGCAAATACAACCTGATCATGTGGACATATATATTTCTTATTTTTGTTTAAACTTAAGAGCTGGGCAGCCATTTGTAACTTAAATTAGCGAGACTTTCCTCCATAAAACATGAAGGAAAATTTACAGCTCATTTAGTTAAACTTTCATATAAAGATTTGTAGTGCAGCATTATGATTTGAAATGATTGCAATCTCTTAAAGTGGAACATCCCTTAAACCGGAAGTGCCTCCCATAATTTAAAACGCAGCAGGCTCGCTAGGAAAAAATAGCAGGTAACAGATGACAGGATTGCAGTTGTAAAGAGATGAAGTGTGTAAGACATCAAATCACCGTCTGCCGTTTTAAATGTGTTACTCAGAGCGTCTGTGCCCCCGGATTCAACCGATTTAGTCACTGTTGACTACTGAAACAGCACCAAAACCCATTTTTATATGCCTATGTTGGAGTATGTTGGTAGGAAACAGTAGTAACAGCGTTATTTAATCCATTACTGAGGGCAGTTTTACTCACAGTTAAATAATTGAGTCATGTTTCTTCCGTTCCAGTGATGCTAGTAAGACATGAAGAATGACACGCTGAGTCACTGTCAGAATGAGCTCAACATGTGCTGCCCTACTACGGGATCAATGAAGAGTAAAGCAGATGCTGGAATCTCCACAGAAAAGGTAGGCTTAAAGGTATAGTTCACCTAAAGATGAAAATTCTGTCAATAATTAATGTCATTCCAAACCCGTAAGACCTTCATTCATCTTCAGAAACACAAATTAAGATATTTTTGATGAAACCCGAGAGCTTTCTGACCCTGCATAGACATCAACGCAAATACCACATTCAAGGCCCAGAAAGATAGTAAGGACATCGTTAAAATAGCCCATGTGACCTCAGTGGTTTCATGAAACTACGAGAATAATTTTTGTGTGCAAAGAAAGCAAAAATAACGACTTTATTCAACAATTTCTTGTCTTCTGTGTCAGCCTTCGCTGCGCATTCATGAGAGTACCACGACACCTGTGTGGTTCTGCTGACACAGGAGCCGGCGTTCTGACGTAGAAATTCTCTTCCGTGTCAGTTGATGTGCGTTCACAAGAGTACACAAGAGACACAGATGTGCATTTTAAAAAGGAATATTTAAATGAATAAGTCTACTGAAACGTCTAAAAATATAGACAAACATATACTAAAAAATAATTAAATAGATACTAATTTATATTATACTATATTTTATTTATTAATTTATTATTATTATTATAAAAGAGAAACACATCCAATCAACTAGAATAAATTATTAATATATTAAATAATATAAATTATATAAAAAATAATATAAACAATTAATATATTAAAATATATTAATTAATATAATATAAATAAATTAGCATTTTTAAAAGAATATTTAAATGTATAGGCCTATTGAAAAGTCTAAAAATAAAGATAAGCATTCTAAAATAAATAAATAGATACTTTAAAAATAGAGAGAACCTAGCTTTACATTTTACTTCAACAAAATGGTTGGTTTGAACTTTTTTTATTTTATTTTAAAAACTTCCCAAAGTTGGAGGATACAATGCAGAACAACATACAAGGCATCACTATAATGTAATGTAATATAAACAATACAGAAACAATAAATAAATATACAAAATTCAGATTTCGTATTTGAACAGAAACAATGGTGACATAGCATGTACATGACTGATCTATTAAGCATTATGCAGTAATGTTTTGTAATGACCTAATGAAAGAAATTAAAGTTAGTGAAGTTGCTTCTAATCGTGTGTTTGTTCCTCAGCAGCAGTGTTTGTCTTTGATGAGATAACAGGTGACACAATAGGTCACAGACTTCTTTCAGAGTCAGGCCTTCGTTTTCCCTCCAAGCTAAACACATCCCCAGAGCACTTCCTGTCAAACAGGAACTGATAGTACGCTCCATTTTTATCTCGGCCAGAACATGGAAATGCTATCGTATTCCTGTGGGCCTCTTCATCCCACCCTTCTCCTGCAAGTCTGTTTGCTTCTCTGTTCATTGTCTTTCCACATGCAGAATTGTGATGTGACCGTGAACAATAAACAACATTTCATTAATCTGCATCGCCAGTAATTTCACACATTTTATAGAGACTTTGTGTGTGCGTGTGCATAAATGTGCACGTTTTGATGAAGAAGCAGATATTATAGTCATAAATAATAATAAGAATGCTGTATGCCAGGTGTTGAAAACCGATTCACTGACTTTTACTGGCAAAACACCAAAAGGGAAGAAAACAGTCTGTGAAAGAATAATATTTGTCAAAGAAACACAAAGCACAAAGACGCTGGGAAAATCAAGGCATTTTCATAGTCTTTTTATTTCCACAATTAAACATTAAATATTTGAAAAAAATAATAATCTCCCTCCTGTTTCACAGTGCAAAATACAAAAGTACAGCATATGGCGGATTCCGTAGTTATTCCAGTCCAGAATATACAAACATCTAATAACCAAACAAACAATCTTCTGTGAGTTTTAATATGCAAGGGTACATTTATTAGAAAAATAGATATTGGTAGTTTATTTCCTATAATAATAATTATAATGTCTCAAAAGCAGACAGTAAAATGAGCAGAGTACTGATCAGAACACTTAGAACATACAAACAACCAGATTCAAAACACATAAATCATCATATCACATGACAAAAACCTGTTCTAGAGATAAACCTATGTAGTGCTTATGTGGGCTCTGTCCAAAGCCAAAGTGAGCTGCCTGCCTAGACAGCATTTTAAGGCATCATAGGCAGTCTCCCAGCTGACAAGTGCACAAAACCACTCTAAAATCACCAGACCGGCCTAGCAGATCAGTCACATACTATGATGCAAACATATAGTTTGGAACAGAGCCGTGTGGTTTTTAGACGTTTAGAACAATAAACCACATTTCATTAATCTGCATCGCCAGTAATTTCACACATTTTATAGAGACTTTGTGTGTGCGTGTGCATAAATGTGCATGTTTTGATGAAGAAGCAGATATTATAGTCATAAATAATAATAAGAATGCTGTATGCCAGGTGTTGAAAACCGATTCACTGACTTTTACTGGCAAAACACCAAAAGGGAAGAAAACAGTCTGTGAAAGAATAATATTTGTCAAAGAAACACAAAGCACAAAGACGCTGGGAAAATCAAGGCATTTTCATAGTCTTTTTATTTCCACAATTAAACATTAAATATTTGAAAAAAATAATAATCTCCCTCCTGTTTCACAGTGCAAAATACAAAAGTACAGCATATGGCGGATTCCGTAGTTATTCCAGTCCAGAATATACAAACATCTAATAACCAAACAAACAATCTTCTGTGAGTTTTAATATGCAAGGGTACATTTATTAGAAAAATAGATATTGGTAGTTTATTTCCTATAATAATAATTATAATGTCTCAAAAGCAGACAGTAAAATGAGCAGAGTACTGATCAGAACACTTAGAACATACAAACAACCAGATTCAAAACACATAAATCATCATATCACATGACAAAAACCTGTTCTAGAGATAAACCTATGTAGTGCTTATGTGGGCTCTGTCCAAAGCCAAAGTGAGCTGCCTGCCTAGACAGCATTTTAAGGCATCATAGGCAGTCTCCCAGCTGACAAGTGCACAAAACCACTCTAAAATCACCAGACCGGCCTAGCAGATCAGTCACATACTATGATGCAAACATATAGTTTGGAACAGAGCCGTGTGGTTTTTAGACGTTTAGACAAAGTCAAAAACTGTGTCTTTCAACCACAATGGATCGATCTCACTTTCTCTCAAAGGGTTGGTTGAGTGTCACAGCCCAAAAACTCCAGCCGCAGGGCAATATCGTTGACCCAGCCTTTCGGGTGAATCTGTATAAAGCGAGCGAACAGGGGAGGATCAAACACGTTCAGCGCCTCTTCATCATACTCGCTGTTTCCCTCAAAGATCTACATCAGGATGAAAAAGAAACAAAACACCATAGACATGAATGGGTGACTCCCATCAAGAACATGTGCAGGTCATATTTCACCCCAAAATCAAAAGAAAGAAAGAAAGAATCATATTGATTATATTTGATTCTTATGATAAAATTAAACCTATCTTAGGGCTATCACATTTTTTTGCCTAATGTACTTAATTGGCAGTTAATTTGGTCTCCAGCCAATCCTTCATTAATTTTCTTATTTTCTTATGTACATAAAAATGCACATACATTTGAATTTTGTGGGGAAATGTGCTTAATTATCAAGAAAATAATGCCCTAATGCAAAAAAAAAAAAAAAAAAAAACTTAATTAAACCTTTACTTCCTTTAAGGAAAAATTAAGTTTTGTTATTTTTGAGTGAAATACAACTTGGACTTGTTTTTCGTGAGGCAAAATCTGTTCGGTATCATTCAATACACACAAATATAGCAGTACCTTTTCACTGTCTGTGCCCTGCTCCTTCACACTGGACCATTTGTGACCATCATTGCTAATAGAGACGGTAAATTCAGTGACTATCATTGGTTTCAGGACAGATCGGGCCCCCTGTGTGACCACCCCGGTCACTCTCTTCACAGAGAGAAAGTCCACCTGTAACCACTCATGAGGGTTATTAGTCTGCAGAACCAGAGAAGAAGCGAGGGGAGACAGAAGGAGACAAAATATAATATGATCAGTTTAACAATTTTTTTACACCCATGTGCAGAATGAATGTGGATAAATCTACCAACAAATGGATAATTTTTCTTACAACGTCCTCATGACTTATAATTTCTAAGCATATTGTTTAAAAAAAATGACACTTCACCTTTAAAGGGGGGGTACAATGCTGTTTCATGCATTCAGAGTTGTTTACACTGTTAAAGAGTTGGATTCTCATGCTAAGCATCGACAAAGTTCAAAAAACAATTTGGACGTATGACACAGTACTTCTGTGCCCAAAATCTTACTTCCGGGTTCATACAAGTTTCTGAGAGTTTTTTTCGATCGTGGCTCTTCATGACGTAGACGAGGGTGGAACTCCTTATATGGGCATTTCTCCCGGAAGCGTAGTTTGTGGACCAGTGTTGCCAAATCCGCGATTGCCGCCGGTTGTTTTTAATGTCAGCAGGTTGAAGCGACCCCAATAATGTGATATTTAGGCCCTGGAATGTGAATTGTACCAGGAGAACCCCGCCAAAAATTGTTTTATTTTACCCTCCGAACGCGATTTTTACTGGGGGACCCCCTCGAAAGCAATTGGGCTATTTTCAGGCTAGTTTTGAGTAGTAATTGGGCGGGTTTTGTAGCGAAAACCTGGCAACCCTGCACCAGACAGAGCTGTCAGCGATTCTTCCTATTGTGAAGTCATGGAGTGCATAACCTCCTGTCGTGTCCGACGAGTTTGAAAAGCATGCAGTGTGAACTCGGCATAAGTGAAACTGCATCAAATCTCTGTTTTGTTGGCATTCGGCGCCCAAGTGCTCGTCACTCTTTAGCTCCGCCCACGGCGCGCCTCCAGGAGCTCAGCTTTTTCCGGAGAGAATCGTAAAGCTGTATCTTTCTTTTATAAATATGATAAAACTAAAGACTTTTTGGAGATATGAAGAATGCAGTACTATTCTATAGGTAGTCAAGATTAACATGAGATTGGGTTAAACTGTGTGTGTTATGCCCCCTTTAAAAAGCACTGATTTCTGCAGGTATAAATTGAAAGTTATTGTGCAGAACAGAATTCCATGTGGAAAGGAGCTGTGCTCTAAATCACTCTAATTAACTCGTAAATCCACCTGACTGACAGCGCTTGGCTCTCTGCAGCTCAAAGAGGAAGTAGAAAGAGCGATAGAGAGAGTGAGACAATGGAGGGATCGCCTCACTTTCACACTGACAGACAGGATAGAGGAAACACTCTCACAATGGGCTTATAAAACACACAGTGTAGGAAGAAAATTAACTTTCACTCTCTCTAAGAACAACATACAGTGATTGAATAGATAGACAGACAGACAGGTAGACAGATGGAGGGACGGATAGATAGACAGATGGAGGGACAGACAGATAGATAGATAGATAGATAGATAGATAGACAGACAGACAGACAGACAGATAGATAGATAGATAGATAGATAGATAGATAGATAGATAGATACCTTGGGTCTCCATGCATTTGCTCGCCCCTCCTGGTGGAGTCTAGCGAGGTCGGGACTCCAGGACAGTAACCACTTGTTTAAGAACGAGGAGGCACTGATGCTGCTGCTGGGAATCAACCTGCGCTCCATTCCCAGCGGCATAGAACAACCTGACAAACACACAAACAAACATGCTTTTATCTGTTTGAAGCAGTGATTTTACTACCATTTTTCCATTTTTATTTTAATTTTCATTAACGCTTTAGTAATTTTGTTGTGCATTTTGTCCTTTTTTATTTATATATATTTTTTTACAACTTTTTTCTTAAAATATATTATCACAAAAAAGTGTCAGGCTTAAACTAAAAGACATGTACTCTCCAGTAACAGTGATTTAGATTTTTTTTTCTCAAGTAAAGTCTGACTCAAATAGAGTATGATGTACTATGTCAACATATTTATGTATATGTACATTTTTGTATATCAAAGCCAGATAGCTTGCTACTCATTTAATGTGCAAAGAGGTTAGCCAGTACTAAATAATGCATACAAGTCTTAAAGGACAAATGTAGTTCAGTTTTGCTTATTTTAGTACATCAAGTTGAAATAAATCAAAAAGGGAAATACTGCCTTGCCAAATATTAAGATAGATAAAATAAGTAGACAAAATAAGTTGGAAAAAATATTTGATAACAATTCTCACTATTAACTAGTTGCTTATTAGCTTGACTATAATTAACATATTGGCTGTTTATTAGTATTACAAAGCACATATCCTGCATGACCGTATTCTACATCCCTAATCCTACCCAATACCTAAACTTAACAACCACCTTACTAACTATTAATAAGCAGCAAATTAGGAGTTTATTGAGACAAAAGTCGAAGTTCATGGTTTGTTAATAGCGGGAATTGGACCTTAAACTACAGCCTGACCAAATATTTATATAAATTATATGTAATAAGTTAACGTTTTTGATATTTCATTTATCGTTTATTTCAAATAAAACCATTTTTCTTATGGTTTTAGTTTTAGTTAACTATAACCCTGGTTTGAAGAACATATTAGCCTGAAAAACATCTATACTGCAAGGGACTTGTTTAGGAGAAGTGTATCTAAATGTGCAGAAATATGTATTATTCAGCTCTCTCAATTAAAAGAAACTTTTCGACTCAAACTTTGGTAACACTTTATTTCGATAGTCCACTTTAGACATTCTATTAACAGTAAGTAACTTTGCAACTACATGTCAACTAGCAGTTAGTAGAGTATTAGTAGACTGTCTGCTTAATATCTTCTAACACTTTCTTTGTCAACTTATTCTACTAACCCTAAACCTACCCTAACCCTACCCTTACTCTGAGAGTTAGTAGACATGTAGTTGCAAATTAATGAGAATTAGTTGACATGTAGTTGACATGTAGTTACAAAGTTACTTATAGTTAGTAGAATGTCTAAAGTGGACTATCGAAATAAAGTGTAACCCAAACTTTTCTCAGATAATGAAGCTTTGGACATTGCCATTGATGCCTGAATGAGAAAAGGCGTTGAAAATCAAGAGAGTAAACAGGGAATGCTGTAGTTAGAAAGCTTTGAAACTTGAATGAAAGTAGAAAGTTGATCTTTCTGATGCTACAGCAGGATGACAGATGCTCATGAACTAACAAAAACATCCAGAGCTTTCAGATTTTCATTTTTAAATCGCTACATACTGATAAAAATGGCATACAAAGGCAAAGAAGAAATGTGCTTTGCAAAGACCTACAGAGTCTTGTCATTTGAATAGTGTTGATGCAGTGTTCGGATTTCCTTTTCTTTAGCGTCTTTTTCTTTTCCTTCAGTTTTTCATTAGAAAGTGCTGTAATCAATCAGTGTGTGTTCACTCACTATTAAGGTCACATCCCAGCAGCTCAATCCTCAGTGTGGGCTGCTTCTGAAAAGTCAGTGGGTGAATTCGGATGTAGCGACCCACAATGGGTGGAGAAAACAAGTTCTCCTTTATTCTGGAACCGTCCATGTTTCCATTGAAGGTCTGATAACAAGAAAACAGATGTGAATAATACCGAAAGTATAAAAGATACAAAAATAGTCACATTTGTAATTAGGATAGCACTTTTTTAGAAATGGAAGCAAATCAGTTTCACTGGAAAAATTATTTGTAGAAGTGAGTTTCATCATGTGTTTCTTAAGATTGCGATGTTTAATGGGCAAAAGATTATATTTAATGGGTGGAGGGTTTGTAGCCGCTTAGAATATGATTATCACAAAAAAAAAACGTGATAGGGATTATCTTGGACATTTCTAGAAGACTGAATAAGAGCCTTATATAATATGTTAACATATTTATGTATATCTATATTTATGTATATGAACGCCAGAGATGTTTTTACTTATTTAAAATGCAAAGACATAAGGCAATCTTAAATTATGTTTCATTTATAAGTCCTAAAGGACAAATGTCATAAAAACAATTTCCAGATCACTTTTCACCCTCAAAACAACACCCTCTTTGTATATCATATACAAACAGAAATGTAAAGATCTTAACAGCAACCAGTCAAAATAAAATTTTGGTTTAACTTGAAGAAACTGTGAAAGAAATGCATTACTTAATGCAACGATAGTAGTACTACTTCTAATAATAAAATTATTATTAAAACATTATTTACCATTATTTATTTATTTAACATTAAATACACAACACAGTATTTCTGTAAAAAAGCAAGAAAGAAAATAATAAATTATTCTTTTAATAAAATCAATTAGAGATGATTTTGATTATTAATATTTAATGAAACCATTCAAATGAAATCCAGAAATTGGTAAAAAATACTGAATTTGAGGGGGAAAAAACATATTTCATAGGGCCTTAAAATTGTGATTTTTGATATTAAAAAAAAAATTTGCTGTTAAATTGTATTGTTAAAAGATACAGAGGTAAAAAAGGGTGAGGGTGGAAATGGTCATTATGCTAACACTAAATAACAGTGAAAGAAATATTTACTAACATTATAAGAGTACTTCGGGGAGGAAAAAAGTAAAATGCTACAAAAAGCACACAGTATGGCCTATTTAAATCAGTTAAGTTTAGAGAAATTCAGATGTTGGTACTGACGTAAGATGACTTGGTACTGTTTCCTCGGTAGGTAGTCCAGTTCTCCTGGTCGATGCTGTAACTGACGGTGTACAGGATAGTGAAATACTCGCTCAAACCCATCGAGGTCTTTGCACCCTGAGTCCGAATGCCATGAAGAAGCATGGGCCTCAGCAGATCCACCTAACACAACACACAGAGTAACAAAGAGAATAGATATGGAAAGTTATCTCATTCTGTTTTTTAACAATGAATTTGTGCTTATTTACTAAAACAATTTAAAACAATGGAATAGCAAGTTGTGCATTGCTAAAAATAACATCCGCAAAAAAAAAAAAAAAAATGTTAATTAGTTTTCAGTGTTAAGATTACGATTTTATAAATGCCCAGAACTTTCCCAGGCTTTTCCAGGAAACCCACCATCATATGAACCCTGCTAAAAATAGTGAATTGTTTTATGTCCTACACCTTTTCTACTATTCCACTATTGAAGCAAAGGTTAAATAAAATCTTCTGCGCAAACCTATTTATAGTATTTAAAAGTATTTCCCACTTTGTCTTGCTGACAGTGAAAGTGTAATGTGTCATGACTTGCTGACTGTGGTGCAAAGAGTCACTATTGTCTGTGACACATTGTGAGATATGAGCCACAAATGAATCATAATGTGTTATTTTTAACTTTAAATATGAGCCATTATGGTCCATGACCGGGAAAGCATTTAACACAGAGTTCCTTAAAAATCAGCCAAAGGACAGCATGTTACGTCTGCAAACAAAAGATTTATTTTACCTGGAGCCAGGAGTCTGTGCCGCTGCCCATCCAGGCATTAATAGAGCCAGATAACTCAAGTCTGGCTAAACTTGGCTTCCAGTCACCTGCAGAGAAATGGGATTTCAACAGTTCAATAAATGTGGAAATATTTGATTAATAACACTAGATTTTGTGGCCAAAGTCAAAAGAGCCCTATGGATTTTCTATGGGATTTGCACCGGTTTTATCATTGCATTATTATAAAACTAAACCTATAGTTTTTTCATTATTTGAAATAAAATCAAACACAAAATGACAAAACACAACAAAATGAGTAATGTTTTAATAAAATTAAAGTAAAAACAAAATTTAAAAATAAAATCTTTTTTCTTTTTTTTTTGTTTGCTATTGCAAATCAGCATATTAGAATGATTTCTGAAGGATTATGTGACATTGAAGACTAAAGTAATGGCTGCTAAAAATTCTGCTCTGCCACGACAGGAATAAATGACATTTTAACATATATTAAACTTAAAAACAGCTCTTTTGGTGAGCATGAGACTTTTTTCGTAAAAGAAAAGAATCTTCCTGATCCCAAACTTTTGAATGGTGTAAACTTGATTTAAAGATGAGATGTCAGGCATAAAAGTGATGTCCTCCATTATTTCAAAACTATATGCTTAAACAATTAAGAAGCCTGGAGTAATGTTGCTGAAAATTCAGCTTTTTTTTTTTTTTTAGCTTACTGAAATAGAAAAATGAAAGTAAAAACAGAATATAAAAATAAAATCTAATTCAACATAATAACAAAAACTATAATAGTATATCAATGATACTACAAAAATATCCCTGTCTCTTACCAGAGTGGTCAGAGGCTGTTATTTGTTTGTTGTCAATCCATCCCGACTGCATTCCCAATGGCTGAATGCATCCTTTAAAACAAAATCGGTCAGTTTCAGGTGCCCTCTAACTATTAGTAACTCAAAACATGACTGCAGGATGCCAAGAAAGGTCTGTGACAATCTCCCATAGAGGAAGAGAGTTAAAGCTCTTACGTGGGTTGTAGACCAGCAACTTGGCCCTCATGCCTGCCATCTGATGTTCTCCTATAGTGCACTCTATTAACCAGGTGCCTACGATGGCTGGCCTCATCTCCACCGTCCCAAAAACCCCTGCCAAATGAGACAGAATTATCGTTATACACTGCCGGCCAAAAGTTTGGAATAATTAAAATTTTTAAATGTTGTTGAAAGATTGTATGATGTTTTCCAGTTGAACAGTTTTGCTTAAAATGTAATTGCCTCCCCTTTTCACGTCTAATCCCTATTAACAGTGTTTACTGGAATGTTTCTGAAGTAGGTAAATACAGTATTTGTATTGTTATCTGTCAAAATAATGGAAATCATTCTGAAATATTATCACGCAACATCATTTTTGATTAAGGCAACATATGTTACATTACACAGACGTTTTGTTTAAAACATCTAAAATATTGCTGTGGAAATAATCAAGATTTTGGGGGTTTTCGTTGGATTAGAATAATGTTACATCATTGTACCCAGTATTTGAGGATGCTTGTTATCGCATTCATAGAGCACATTTGTTTACAATTTAACAGAAGTTACTCCCATAATTTGTGCAAAGCAAATAAGAAAAAGGTGGATAATGTTACAGAAGGTTTTTGTTCTTGTGAAATTTCTGTTCATCAAAGAATCCTGAAAACATATATCACAAAAATATTAAACAGCAAAAACCATTTTTAACATTAATAATACAAATTATGGTAACACTTTACTTGAAGGGGTGTGCATAAGACTGACATGACACCTTCATAATCATGACATGACACATGTCATGAATATGAAGGAGGTTTTATGCATGTTTATGACAACTGTCATTAAGTGCCATTCGCTCAGTTATGTCATTTTTAATGCAAATATGACATTATTTGACCTAACCCTAACCTAACCCTACCCCTACCCTTACCCCTAACCATAGCCCATAACAAAGACATCTCAAACAATGTCATCTTTGCATTAAAAATGACATAACTGAGCGAATGACACTTAATGACAGTTGTCATAAACATGCATAAAAAACTTTCATATTCATGACATGTGTCATGTCATGATTATGAAGGTGTCATGTCATGATTATGCACACCCCTTCAAGTAAAGTGTAACCAAAATTATTAATAATTGAGTAGAAAATCAGCAGAATGATTTCTGAAGGATCATGTAACACTGAAGACTGGAATAATGATGCTAAAAAATTCAGCTTTGCATCACAGAAATTAATTACATTTTATTAAAATAGAAAACTTTTTTAGTTTTAATATTATTTTAATAATATTTTACATTACAGTTTTTACTGTATTTTTTATTAAAAAGGGAGAGCATAAGAGGCTTCTTTCAAAAATATTTTAGAATATATATATATGTGAAAGTGAAAGGTTTGAGTATTTGTTTATAGTTTACCGGGATAGAGATTGAAAACTCCCATACGGTGTTCCTGATCTTTTCCGACTCCAAACGGCAGTCCGTGGAAGTGTATGGCGTGAAACTCGCCTTGACTCCCAACGTTGAGGAGGTGCCAGCGAGCCGTCCGGTACTGTTCAACTATCAGGCCAGGAAGCGTCTCTGACACATAGCCATTAATAGCTACAAGAATCAAGAAATACAACACAATAATTATGGCTATTATTACATTTCCTAATATGCCAAGGTCATAGGTTCAGTTCACAGGTAATGCGCAAACTAAAAAAAAATGTATACCTTGAATGCATTGTAAGTTGTTTTGGATAAAATCAGCAACCAAATGCATAAATCTAAATATAGATGTGTTGCCCTGAGTCAATGAATTTCCAAATAGTTTGTTTGTATTTAGAAAAACTGGGTGTTTGGAACATTGGCAATTAGCTAAATTAGTTCAGCATGTTACATTATACGTCCTGTTTCTTGTACTAAGGAAAAGTAATAGAAAAGTGTTTGTGTGTGTGATTTAACCACCAAATTACATAAGTAACATAATAACAAGCACAAACACTCATGTGTCTGTTTGGTGTTATTAGCGTTGTCATAGAAACAAATCTTTTTTGAAACAAAGAACATAAACAGATCCGACTGGTTGTCTCATAAGAGATGAATGCAGTGTTAATCATAAATTATGAAAATGTACCCGCAAACTTGTTGCTCATCTCGAACCATGGGTCATCTACTTTGGCCTGGCAGGGAGGGGTGCAAAACTTCCTGGTGTTGTAGTCGAGGTACCAGCTCTTTCTTTCATCAAAGGTGGTGAAGAGAAGGAAGAAATCCATCACGTCGGGCTGAAGCAAGTCGCGTGGACGAAGGATACCAGGACGACATATCAGCACCGGACCGATTAGACCAGAGTTTATGTCCTTCTCCTGTTGAATGCAGGAGGAATACAGAAGTTATTTAAGTTTACATTTATATGTTTGGCAGACGCTTTTATCCAAAGCGACTTGCATTGCATTTAAGCCATACTGTACATTTTATCAGTTCATCAATACTCTGGGAATTTTTTTGTTGAGCGTCATTTGATCAGGCTTTTATGGTTCATATGTAGTGAGAATATGGAGTTCATACTCTCAAATTGATTTTTCTAAAAAATTATGCATTGAAAATCAAGTAAACCTAAATCCAGTAAGTGCTCATCATGAAATGTTGAAAAATACATTTACACTTACGTTTACTTTATAAAAATCAGATTTCACAGCAAACACACATGAACCATGACCTGAAGGTGACCTGATGTTTTTACAATTATACTAAAGGCCTTTTACTTGCTAAAAAAGTATAAACTATCAATCAGATGACAAAGTGCATGTAGTAGATTGTGTGCAACAGGTTTTTCAGCAAAGTTTTGATCATTTAGAGGGCTTAGAAATTTGTATATCAAATATGATACAGGAGGCTTTATAGGATTAAAGACAACATGAAAACGTAAAATTTTTGTGCTTCAACCTGATTTTGATTCATGTGTTGCACATTGAATTACCATGTTAACATCGGAGTAGTATGCTCCAGCCTTGCAGTCAAACTCTGACACTGAGGGACCTTGTCGTCTGGAGATTCTCCAGTTGTAAACCCTCTCCTCCCCTGGAGGAACTGGATCACCTGGTACTTGTTCGGCCTTGGTGCCTTCTGGGCCCGTTCCAGGGCTAAAACTCCCCTGCGTCTTATCGTACACCCCATGCAAGTGGAAAGAGTACGGTCTGGATGCCAGGTTCTTGAAAACCACCTTGTGGGAAAAGAAATGCACGAAATTAGCGTGTGCAATGGCAAAGAGGTGGTCACATTTATACATTCAGCAGATGCTTTTATACAAAGCGACTTACAATAGAGCAGCATAAGCAATTCATCACAGAGCCAATAATATTTGTAGTATGCAATGTCACATTTATTAGAATGTTAGATTAGGAAGTTAGTAGGAGGTTTGGAGGCTACATTAGTGAAATTTCCTCAAAATTTCAAGGACAGTTTTCTGTTGTCAATGATGTAGCAACGTATGAAGCACAGCTCACACAGAAGTCACTTTTAAACAGCTTTGTTTTGGTCAGTGCAACATAACCAGCTTGAACCCGTTGCGATCTGCGTGGAAAAATCTTTTGTCTTAACTTGAATTCAATCATGACAGCTCTCGGAAGATTTTAGCATGGTGATGGATATGACAATGTTAATGTATTTGGTCTTGGTGGAATAGATCTGCTACGCTGCTGCTGCTGAATTGCTGCTTCTGTTGGTTATTGCTGTAGTTGTAGATTATTGCTGCTGCAAGCAAGTACAGGAATTTGCTACTGCCAATGCATACGGCGATACGGTACCATGAGTATTTAAGACATACTGCTGCTGCACAAATAGCATATAAAATAACCTGTAGCAGATCTATACAGGTGGAGCTGGAGAAGGTGGAGGGTTTCAGAGAAACTCTGAAAGCGCGCTGCAGGAATCTCAAGTGAATGCTAGCCAGCCATATAAATGCAAGGCAGTAAGCTGATTGGCTGCATATGCAGCATGAACCAATCAGCTTGTGCCAACTCTCTGAATATCATCGGTTAAGTTAACAACCCATCGCCTGTGCCATCTAGAGTTTCATGACTGAACTATATATTTTCTATTGAAACGACTGGATTTCGCCAATGAAAATTCATCCAAATAACAGTAAATGTGATTGCACCTTAAGAGTGCAATATTCAATTAAATTAAAAGGCTCCTTTTAATAGTTCCTATTAATGAAGAAACTTACAGTAAGAACATCATTGATTTCTGCCTTCAACACAGGACCCATAATGCCGAGGTGCTCGTCCAGTTCTCCTCGTTTGATTGGATGCTTGAAATCTCTGTCCTGATAGGCTCTGAAAACCACTTTTTTATAGGCTGGGAAATATTTTCTCATTCCCCTCCCCATGTCCCTGTGAGCACATGAAATATTTAGTGCAAGTACAATTGACCAAGCCTTTAAGGCTGGTTTTAGGCTTAATTTGAAAAGCAATAATATTAATATCCTGATCTAAAACAGCATTGCATTGTGACATTTTTTTTTGACAAATAAGGATTTAGGATTGTTTTTCTGCTCTCGAGACTAAAACAAACTATTTACAAACATCTAAATAGATTTGATTCAATCAGACATCACCAAAAATGAGATTTTATAAAATCTGTAACATTAATATATATAATTTCATATTATATTTGTGTGATTAGAAATATTTGAGAATTGTCTGCTAAAATGAAAAAAAATGTGGTTATGACGTTTCTATGAAAAATAAGGATTTTAAGGCATTTTTGCTCTTCAGGCTATAACTAACTAACTGTATACAACTAAACAACTAACCTAAATGAATCTGATTCAGTCCGACACCACCAAGAATTTGATTTTATACAATATCTTATATTCTTTTGGTGCTAGCGTTAAAATTATGCAATTCCTTACAATTGCATATTCGCCAACTGGATTCTATTTCCCAGTTTAAAACTCAGATTAAAACATATTTGTTTAGAACAGCTTTTAGTGATTTGATTGTTTAATTAAAGTTTAAGTTTGTGTTTACTATTTGTGTTCTCTTTATGTTATTTGTATTTCAGTGTTTTTGCTGTAAGGTGTCCTTGAGTGAATTGAAAGGCACTTATAAATTAAAGGTATCATTATTATTATTATTTAAAGGGGTCATATGATGTTGCTGAAAAGAACATTATTTTGTGTATTTGGTGTAATGCAATGTGTTTATGCGGTTTAAGGTTAAAAAAACACATTATTTTCCAACATACTGTACATTATTGTTTCTCCTCTATACCCCGCCTTTCTGAAACGCGTCGATTTCTACAAAGCTCATTGGTCTGAAAAGCGAGGTGTGCTCTGATTGGCCAGCTATCCAGTGCGTTGTGATTGGCCGAATACCTCAAGCGTGTGACGGAAATTTTACACCGCTTACCATATTGTGATGCCCTGTCCGGCCGGAGCGATGATTCAAAAACATGAAAACCCATTATAAACGAGGCATTTGTTGCATCCAGTGGGGACATAATTACAGGTTATAATGACTTATACTGTCTTTTTACGCATTGTGTTGCATATCTCTTTGGTTTTGAGACTTTAGTCTTTGCAACTTTAGGGATCTTATCTATTCACGAACAGCTTGTAACACTCCAAAGAGAAAGGAAAACTTGAAATCGCATCATATGACACCTTTAAGACTTGAAACATTAGAAATTATTTAGAATTGTCCACTAAAATTACCAAAAATATGTTTGTGGCTCATCAGAATGTTTTTTTTACCTTGGTTTGATGAGTTGAGCTGGTTTATTGATCCCATAATCCCACATGATTTCCTCTGCTGCGATATAGTAACTTCTGAACCTTGATTCCGTGGACCTAATGCCGACATTATCTTCAACATGATGCTCCAAACCGAGAACACTTCCTTCATCGCCATAATCATCATAGTCACTTGCCAGTGATTTCCTGCCATAGGTCTGGTTATCTGATGAATTTGACACTGGCTCCAAAACTGATTCCAAATCTGGTTGGAACTTCTTTGGATCTTTGTAGTCATAGCTATGAAGATTCAAACTTTCCTCCATATTATCCTGCTTTAGACCAGAACTTCCAGAGTCTTTCAGAACTTCATTGTTGCTCTGAACTTTCGCATCCACTTTGTTTATTTTGTCTTTGCTGACGCTCCACAACTCCCTTCGATTCCTCACTTTCTCTGATTTCTCTTCCGTAGAGTTGTTTAGAAGTTGGTGGTTCAACAGGTTTTTATCTTTAAAAAGTAATTTTCGAAATAGGTCATTTGTTGGATGAGTTTTATTGTCATCATCTTCATTCAACTGTATGTTTGCAATGTTCATATTTTGATGTTCTCCTGTTAATGCCTTGTTTTCTGCTGTATTTGATGTGACTGTAGGATCAATCACATTTGGCCTTCTTCTGTAAGGCTCAGATTCATGGTGGGACCTTTTTTGACGTTCCAATGAATTTCCGCTCATCTCCCCGTCCAGTTGATCCAAAATATCCTGTGGAATACCGCCCTGTGATAGCACATCCAGATCGTTTTCCCGCTTTATGGGAATATATCTTATCTCACACACACGAGTTCTGTTTTGTCTCTCTGTGTCTGAGCTCATGTTTTCTCGCCCAATCGCAGAGTCTGTCACAGTTCTGTTTCGGCACACGCGAACAGCGATAGTGCGGTCCTTTTCCATTGTGCCTCGTGGAATCGGGAAATTCTGTTCAATGAATTCATTTAATTCGTCATCGTAGTCTTCATTGTCCACCACAGGTAGGACTCTTTCACAGTTAACAACCGTGTAGCGAACACTCATGCCTCGCTGTTTCAGAGACGGGTCAAATGCGCTGACCTCCCATTCACCTACAAAGTTCAAATATCAAACTTATGAACATGGTATCAAAACAGGTTCGTGGTTTAATTATGAATGATAATCTTCATAATCTTTCATTGATAACTTGATCCGCCCTAAACAGCATTTTTTTTTTCAATATATACAATATATATTCTTTCAGTGCAGCTTTACATTAATAAACAGAAAAAATTACTTAATATGGCAGAATTCATCAATTTACGAAAAATGTAATTTAAACTGTAAAGCAGCTCTGCAGAAGGTTATAGTGTCCATTTCAGTTCAATTTAGTTCACTGTGGATTTAGTTCAGTTCAATAACTGTCAAAGTGCATCAATTAATAAACAAGTTCTATTCAGCTATAAGCTGCTCTACAAAAGGAAATTACAAAAGGAATATTTTTTTTCTATAATTAGTTTTTATATTTTCCTTTTTAATTTTAATTTTACTTTACGTTTTATTAATTTAGATGTTTTTTTAAAATACACTACCGGTCAAAGGTTTGGAATATAATAGAAGTCTATTCTCACTAACACTGCATTTATTTGATCATGAATACAGTAAAGACATTAATATTGTGAAATTTTACAAAAGTATTATATTAAAGGGGTCATATGGGGTCATATGATGCGATTTCAAGTTTTCATTTCTCTTTGGACTGTTACAAGCTGTTTGTGAATAGATAAGATCCCTAAAGTTGCAAATATTAAAGTCTCAAACCCAAAGAGATATTCTTTATAAAAGTTAAGACTCGTCCACGCCATCGTTTAAACACACCCACACGTCTACGTCACTGTGTGGGAAGATTTGCATAACACCACCCAAATGTTCACGCAAAGAAGGCGTAACTTTATTGTTGCTGCCACCACCGCCGCCATGTTGTGAAGACGCTGTGTGTTTCGTTGTGAAAGCGAAACTACTTTGTTTGGCCTTCCAAAAGAGGACACGACTAGAAATCAGTGGTTAAGTTGTATTTACAACACTGTTCCAAAATCGACGCGTTTCAGAAAGGCGGGGCATAGAGGAGAAAAAATAATGCACAGTATGTGGAAAATACTGTGTTTTTTGAACCTTAAACCGCATAAACACATTTCATTACACCAAATACACAAAATAATGTTCTTTTTAGCAACGTCATATGACCCCTTTAACTTTTGACCGGCAGTGTATGTCTATGTAGTTTTTATTAATTATTATTTGAGTTTTAGTTTTAGTTATTTTAGTAATTCAACTCAAACTAAACGAGAACTATAGGAAATAACACAACATCTTTAACAAATAACTCAAATAATTTTTAATATATTTTATTTTATTTCAGGTCATGCTTATTTTGTTTTTAACGGTTTTAATTTTAGTTTTATTTAATGATAATAACCCTTCATCAAGCCTTCTTAGTTTTCAAAGCATCCGCTCCAGCCAATATCTTTATTACTCTTACCTAGCATCTCCACTTCACTGGTGACTGTCTCTCCAGTCATTGGGAAGAGTGTGAGGACAGTGCCATATGTTTTATCCCTCTCAAACGTGTTTCCTGTGAAGTAGACTGACAGGAAGTTGTTTTGCATGCCAATGCTTGCCACATGCCAGAGTATGACATCGCCAACACACATCCTGAATTGTAGGTGGTTGAACATAAACCCGTTAACAGCTGAAACACAGACAGAAACTCAAATAAAAAAGTGATCTGCAATTTAACTCATGGAAAATAGAGATCAATCCAGTTTTTAAGTAATACAAATACCCAAAGCAATCCCAGGTTATTCAATAATTTACATCCAGAGACTAAAAATCAACACCCACTGTGCATGACATTAGAATTGTAGAAATCTGGATCATTGCGGTCAATCTTAGTTGGATCTTCACTGTTTTTTTTCATGTTCTCCTCAAAGTACCAGCTTCTGTTTTCATCAAACACAGTGAACAAGAGCTTCTTCTCTTTATCTGAAGTTACCTGTGAAAACATATTATTAATAATTTCCATCCATTCATCCATCTATCCATCAGATAAACCAACATACTGTAGGCTCAATGGAAAGGAGTGCCTCTACCTACATTTTTGCATAAAACTATACCTACATGCATGCAATTCACTGCAGTTTCCACCTGAAATGTATACTGTGGGCAGTAAAACAAGTTTTATTCTTTTTCATACAAATTATGATTAAGGGGCAGATTATTTAGTAATAAAGACGTATTTCCTTGCACAATACTATGTTATGACCTCAAACACTTTTACCATATTGATTCATTTGTAAACTAATACATTTTCATGTTTACATCACATAGCCAGCTCAATATGTATGGCTTGTCTGCAATAGTAAACTTGCTTGGTAGTGCACCCGGTACAGCAATGCACTTGTGATGCGAAGTCCCGTGAAACACGAGTCACGGCAAATAAGCTTAAAGACTTAAAGAAGCAAGCTAAAATTACATGGTTTATTCAGCAAATGTGTTTTTTGCATTTAACATTCGATTTTAGCACCATTTACTAGACATTACACTTTCTAAGTGCCGTGAAAGGTGCAATTTTTGCAGAAATGTCGCTACAAGCACATTTTTCCAGTCAGTCTGGGTAGAAACAAACAGATCTACATCAGAGTCCTTTCTCACCACTCTGCCTCTTTTGTCCAGAGATTGGGATTTGCAGATGATAAGGGGTCCCACCAGCCCAGATGCCACATCCCGGATGGGATCCACCATACTCTGGTATAAGCGCGTGAGGCATCGTGGGTCAGCTTCTGTGGGTCCATCTTCAGCTGTCAGTTTCCAGAGGTACATCATTATCTCACCTGGGGGAACGGCCAAAGAACGAAGGTCCACTGGTTTGTCTTCAACCCACAAAGAAAGTAAAATCAGTTAAATTCATTAAAAGTTAGTTTGCATCCAGCTGACTAGAATAACTTGATACCAGGGTTATTAGCATTAACTAAAACTAAAATCATAAAAAAAATTATTACTAAAATAAAATAAATGTCAAATGAAATAAATTAACGTAAACTTCTATTTAAGCTAACCATGAAGTACTAAAATAACTAAAACTGAAATAAAAATTAATAAGAACTATATAGACAGAAAAAACTAATAAAAATGAGTAATAAAAAAACAACAAAATTACTAAATACTAACAAATATTACAAAATTACTAATAAGTACTACACCCCATTGTGTTTCTCATTGTTAGGTAATGCACTAACTAATGTTAACTAATGGGACCTTATTGTAAAGTGTTGCCTATTTTTTGTATGACACTAAACTGCATAACTGTCTGTTGTCTCAGGCAAATGGTTTTACATTTATGCATTTAGCAAATGCTTTTAAAGATTTTTTACATAGCTGTGCTGCTGTGTGTATAAAAACATTCCCTTTCGATACTACACTTGCACTGCGTCTTGCTAGACCCTTTTTTCTCCTGAACTAAAGCCTTTTCATTCACGCAGTGAAACTGCACAGCCACTGGTCCATGCAGTGTAAAACGAACCAATGGCTAGGCAGCGGAGCTGCACGAGCCTATGGCGACGAAGGCCGCCAAAGCCAGCCAAAGCCCGCCAAAGCCCGCCAGAATGGGTGGGGCATCTGGCTATATAAGCAGGCATTCGCCACAGGATTCTCAGATTTTTTCTCCGTCAGCGACGACTCTACGTCTTCAAGCTGATCCGAAGCCGCTCGCCGTTGACACGCCTTCGCAGCTGTAATCGGGACCTCTCAGCACGGCTGACCTGCTTCTCCACCGCTCCAGCGATGCAGAAGTTCCGGTCCGTTTCCCCTGCCGCCATTCGGCGATATTAAAATAACTTCTAAAAGAGCAAATTGGCGTTGTTGCAAATGCCACGCCATTACTGCGGTTCGTGTGGGTCTCCCCTGCACGCCGATGACGGACACACGGAGTGCGTTTCCTGCTTGGGGAAATCCCATGCGGAAGCTGCACTCACGGGAACTGATTGTTCTCACTGCGAGAACTTCAGTCTCGCCTCTCTTCGCTAGCGAACCACTTTCTTTTCAGAGAGCGTCTCCGCCCCTCGCGCCCCTCCCGTTTTCTTCCTCCCAGGGACCTGTGAGGAAAAAACAGCGGGGCAGAGGGGTCGAGCAACCGGCTGCGAGCGAGCCTACGTCAGCCCAGATCCCGCGTGCCTCACTCTCGCCCCAGAGAGAGTATTCCCCCGTCCTTTTCTCCCGGTCTGATCAGCGTCCCTCTGCTGGTGCGAGCGACCTGATCTCATCTGGGGGAAGTGAGGACGAGCTGCTTGATGACAGCATGTCACTGGCAGCATCGGATGCAGAGGAGCTGTTGGGCTCGGTGAATGACCCCACCCCCTCGCCATCGTCCGCGTCCAGTGCCACCAAAGACGGGATGGATGCCGAGCTTCTCCGTATCCTCTCCAAAGAGGTTGAAGAGCTGGGATAGAGTGGTCTCCGCCAGAGGAGCCCTCTCGCAGCCGTCTGGATGAGTGGTTCCTGCCGGGGCGCCGCCAGGCCCCTCGTCAGCGTTCCTCTCCATTTTTCCCGGAGGTCCATGACGAGCTCACCAGATCGTGGCGCACTCCCTACTCCGCCCGCCTCCATACTGCTTCTTCATCCGCCCTCACTTCTATCGACGGCGCTGAAGAAAAAGGGTACGATAAGCCACCTGCCCTAGATGAGTCAGTGGCCGCGCATCTCTGCCCGCCCACAGCTATCAGCTGGAGAGCAAAGGCCGCTCACCCATCCAAGCCGTGTAGGACCACTTCAGCTCTCGCTGGACGCGCCTAAACTTCAGCTGGACAGGCGACTTCGGCGCTTCATTCAATGACGGTCCTCCAGGTCTTCCAGGCCAAAATCCTCGCATCCTCCGATGAGTCTGGCCTGGACCCCGTGACCCTCAGGGATCTGAGGAGTGCAACTGACCTGGCTCTGCGCGCCACCAAGATCACCGCCCAGGCAATCGGGAGATCGATGGCCAGCCTTGTGGTGCTTGAACGCCATTTTTGGCTGACGCTGACAAAGATTAAGGACGCGGATAAGATCCCCTTCCTCGATGCTCCAGTCTCTCCCAAAGGTCTTTTCGGCCCGGCGGTCAAAGGATTCGCTGAGCGCTTCACGGAGGCACAGAAATCGTCCCAGGCTATGCGACATTTCCTGCCTAAGCGCTCCAGCTCTGCTGCTGCCTCTGCTCACCCTAAGTCTGCGCCGACTCAGCAGCCCGCAAAACCATCACCTGCCGCCCCCGCTGTTCAGCCCGCTAAAGCGCTGCAGACGCGGGGACGCTCTCGCTCAGCCAAACTAATCTGCGAGACAGGAAGAGGACGGAGTCAGACCTCGCTACGGCCGGACCGCCCCTCAAGCAACCTCTCTTAGACCTCTTGACACCCCGTTCAACTCCTGGTACAGAGGGAAATGTGTTTTGTGCAAACAAATGGGTCCATTCATGCGCCCAAGCATTCAACCGCTGTGGTAGCGGAAAAAATAAAACACAAACATTTTCAAAAAGAGAGCAAACTATCCTGCGCTCACAGGTGATGAATTTGCTGGCAAAAGGAGCTGTGGAAATGGTTCCTCCAGCCCAGAGAGAGTCAGGCTTCTACAGCCATTACTTCCTCATCCCCAAAAGAGATGGTGGCCTTTGGCCCATCCCTGATCTCAGACACCTGAATCATGCCCTCATGAAGAGGTCGTTCAGGATGATTACACTGAAACAGATCCTCGCGCAAATTCGCTCGGGAGACTGGTTCTTTTCTCTGGACCTGAAGGATGCATATTTTCACATCCAGATAGCCCTCCGTCACAGGCGATTCTTGAGATTCGCCTTCGAGGGAGTGGCTTATCAATACACAATCTTTCCCTTTGGGCTGTCCCTGGCCCCCCGCACTTTTACAAAGTGCATGGACGTGGCTCTCTCCCCTCTGAGACAGATGGGAATCCGCATTCTCAATTACCTCGACGACTGGCTCGTTCTGGCCCAGTCAGAGGCAGAATTAATATCACACAGGACCCTCCTCCTCAGCCACCTGGAGTGCCTGGGACTCAGGGTCAATTTTGACAAAAGCTCATTGCTTCCCAGCCAACGAAAGGCAGTTCATCATTGAATTCAGTGATGTCATCATCCAGCTCAGTTCAGTTTAAATAGTATCTGTGCAATCAAGTCTACGATATCGCTGGAAATGAAGTGTCCCCAACTAAGCAAGCCAGAGGCGACAGCGGCAAGGAAACGCGCTGTGCGAGGGCATACCGACTTTCGCCCACTGGTCGAAGGCGGAAAAGGGCTTCTACGTCAACTGCCTGGAAATGCTAGCAGTATGTCAAGCTTGTCAGTTCTTCCTGCCAGTCCTAAAGGGGCACCATGTGCTAATCCGATTGGACAACATGTCTGTGGTATCCTACATAAATCACCAGGGAGGCCTCTCCTCGAAGCGTCTCTTCATTCTGGTAGAGCGCTTCTTAGAATGGGCTCGACGGGAACCTTCGAGCCTCCCAGAGCGAGTCTTAAACACAATTTCGGAGGCTAGCGCTCCGTCTACGAGACGCCTTTACGCCTTAAAGTGGTCTTTTTTCTCCGCTTGGTGTCTAAACCGCGGCAAAGACCCCCTCACTTCCGAATTGGCAGAGGTGTTGTCATTTCTACAAGAGCTGCTGGATAAGGATCGTTCCCCATCCACGTTCAAAGTCTATGTGGCGGCTATAGCAGCCTCTCATGTCCCTATTGAGGGTCAATCGGTGGGCAGAAATAGCGCGGTCATCCGCTTCCTGAAGGGTGCAAGGAGGCGGAATCCAAACCTGCGCTCGCTGAGGGCAGCGCATATACCAGGCAAATTGAACCAGGGAGCAGACATGTTTTCAAGGAGCAATGTCCCCTCAGGGGAGTGGACGCTCCATCCGCAGACGGTTCAGAGGATCTGGGAGATCTTCGGCAAGGCCAAGGTGGACCTCTTCGCCTCAGAAGACAACTCTCACTGCCCAATTTATTTCTCAAGGACCAGGGACGCGTTGGCCCACGATTGGCCCAACCTCCTTTTTTATGCTTTTCCCCTGATTGCTCTGATCCCACAGGCAATCAGGCGAGTGAGGGAACAAAAACACAAGGTTCTCCTGGTGGCCCGCCTTTGGATGAACCAGCTGTGGCTATCAGAGCTAACTCAGCTATTGATAGCGGCCCCTTGGCCTGTTCCGCTGAGACAGGATCTCCTCTCTCAAGCGAACGGGACAATATAGCATCCTCGGCCCGACCTATGGGCCCTGCACATCTGGCCGCTCGACGGGAGCCTTCGAGCCTCCCAGAGCGAGTCTTAAACACAATTTCGGAGGCTAGAGCTCCATCTACGAGACGCCTCTACGCCTTAAGGTGGTCTTTTTTCTCCGCTTGGTGTCTAAATCGCGGCAAAGACCCTCATACTTCTGATTTGACAGAGGTGTTGTCATTTCTGCAAGAGCTGTTGGATAAGGGACGTTCCCCATCCACGCTCAAAGTCTATGTGGCGGCTATAGAGGCCTCTCATGCCCCAATAGCTGTTGGATAAGGGACGTTCCCCATCCACGCTCAAAGTCTATGTGGCGGCTATAGCGGCCTCTCATGCCCCAATTGAGGGCCAATCCGTGGGCAGAAACAGCGTAATCATCTGCTTCCTAAGGGGTGCCAGGCTGAATCCACCTCGTCCCCCTACCGTCCCTTCATGGGATCTGTCCACTGTGCTGAGGACCCTGAAGGGCCCCGCTTTCGAGCCGCTGCAGTCTGCCAACATTCAGTCGCTATCGCTGAAGACTGCTCTGCTTCTAGCACTGGCATCAGTAAAGCGAATAGGGGACCTCTCCGCGCTTCCTCCAACTGAAGAGGACAGAGAGCTATCTGCCCCGTCAAAGCTCTGAGAATCTATATTGAGCGTTCCGCCCCCTATAGGTGGTCGGAACAACTCTTTGTCAGCTTCGGTAACTGCACCAAAGGGCTTCCGGTTACGAAGCAAAGACTCTCTAGATGGATAGTAGACTCCATCTCGCTAGCGTACTCTT